GTATTCTGATAACTGTATTTCAGCAGAAAAGTGCCATGTTACTTGACTTTCTGAGATGGCAGATGCTAAGTTAATTTGGAAGAATGATAAATAGTGCTTTAGGTCAGGCTGAGAATTCATTGTTCATTCTGAAAAAATTTGTCGGGAAATATTCTCTTTAGAATTTAAGTTCTTTTTTTTTTTTTTTGAGGGGGCATTCATTATTAACTTAGTACATCTAAGAACTGAGTATTTTAGAAACTTTATTCAGCTTTTTGGTAACTTCCTGTTTAAAAGATTAAAGTTAAAAAAAAAAAGATTAAAGTTGAAGTATGAAAGGAAAGCAGTCTAGGCATTGATCTTTAGCTACTAGCTGAAGAAATGGTGGCTGTGCCTGACCTTTTAATGTTATAGAGTTGGAGCTTGTACATTTCTTCCTGAGAGGAGTAGTATGAAAAATGCTTTGGAAAAATAGCTGCCAGAGTTCTACCACAGAAAATTGTCTCTAGTGCCATGAGCCACAAACTTGTAAATTGCTAGATTAAAAAAATATATTCAGCATTAGTAAGAGCATCAAGTACTCATCATAGCTATGGCAGAAGTTCCTAATTTGTCAGATACCCATTTCCCCATATCTTCTTTCTAATAGAACTTAAAGTTTTCCTAGAAGCAGAAGTGTGCCTAGCTGAAAAACCCCATACATTTCTTAACCTCCTTTCCAGCCAGAGCAGCCATGTAACATAGTCCTGGTCAGTGAGGTGCAGGCAGAAATTTCTGGATGAAGATCTTTTGAAAGACCTTTTACCTGTTTTTTTTTTTTCCTCCTGTGTAGAAATTAGACATGATGCCTAGGGCTAGACCAGTATTCTGGAGGCCTTCAGAGGAAAGCCAGGAGATTTACAGATATCTTCCCCTATGTATCCCTGAGTTGCCAAACCAACGTCAGCACATGCCTCTCTGAACTTCCATTTGATGAGAAGAGTAAACCCCTGTCTTCCTTAAACCACTGTAATTTGGGCTTCCTGTTAAATGCATCAGAACATTATTCCTGGCTGATAACAATTATTTGTATGCCCGTTATGATCTACTTTCTGGAGATGTGGAGTCTTCTGATTATAATTCAACAAGAGATTTTATCTGACTTCAAATCCAGAAGACCCTGAGAGTTTTGGAATTCTTTCTGTCTTTAGACTTGACTGGATGAGCTGGATATCCAGCTGGATAGATATTGGTTACCAAGGAGGTTTGAGGAAATGCATGGAAATATTCAAAAATAGTCTAGCATCTCCCAGTATCACTTCATCCTCTCTTGCATTTAAGTCCTGGCTTCATCTGACCACATAATCTGTGTTGAAACTACTGGTGCTCCCTCTGAATGGAGGGGGTTTCAGATAGTTATAGCACGGTTAGGAATCTGACTGATGACCTCATCTCCCTCCTTGCCAGGGTTAACTATGGAGGCTTTTTTCTGGTTTTTAAAAAAACTTATTCAGGTGTAATATACTTATGGAAGAAGTGCTCAGATCATACCTGTACAGCTTTATGACTTTTCACATACAGCTTTATGTATTTTTCACAAACCGAACCTGTCTGTGTAACCGGCATCCTGATCAAGAAAGAAAGAAGTCCTGCTGTGGCCCTTATGGGTTATCAGCGTCCTTCTAACAGCGTCGAGTAGCGTCGAGTAGTTTTTGCCCGTATTTGTGTTATTTACACATGGACGCGTACAGGACGTACTCTTTTGTGTTTGGCTTCTTTTTGCTCAGCGTTTCTGTGAGATTAGTCTATACTGTTGTGTATAATTATAGGTCATTCTCATTGCAGTGCAGCATTCCATTGTGTGACTGCGTCCCAACTTATTTATCTCATCAACTGTTGGTGGGCATTTGGAGTGTTTCCAGTTTTGACTCCATTTATGAATACTGCTGCTAAGAATATTCTTTTGTTAAACTTAATGGAGGTGTTCTGTTGGGTATGTACCTTAAATGAAATTGGTGTCAGTGCTTGAGAGTGTTAGCTCCTCTGCGTTCTACCAATACTTGATTTGTCTTTGTTTTTAGGCTGGTCATTCTGGTGGGTGTGTGTATTTTGTGAAGTGCCTGGTTGTCTTTTGCCCATTTTTTTTTTCGTTTGCCCATTTTTCTACTGAGTTGTATGCCTTTTCTTATTGTTTGTGGGATACCCTTTTATATTCTGGATACTAGTCCTTTGCCAGATATTTATATTGTGAATATCTTTTTCTATTCTGTGATTTGCTCTTTCCCTCTTTACCTGTTTTTTGAGAAATGGGTCTTTATATAATCCAGTTGATCAGATTTCCCTTTGTGTTTAGTGCTTTTTGGGTAATGTTAAAAAATATCTGCCTGCTCCAGCATCACAAAGATGATGATCTGTATTTTGTTCTATAAAAGCTTTATTGTATAGATCTTCCCTCCACCTATTAATAGGATTGCTTTTTATCTAGATGTGAGGGAGGGGGTAACAAAACATTTTTTCTGAATAGTTATGTAGTGGAGTCAGCACCATTTATTAAAAATGTTATCCATTCCCCACTATACTGCAGTGTTAGGTTTCTCATAAATCAGTTAACCAAATATCTGTGGCTTGTTTCTGGACACGATTCTGTTCTGTTCCATTAGTCAGTTTTTCTCCTCTTGGACAAACAGCATGCTGTTTTAATTATTATAGCTTTATAGTAGGTTTTGTTAACTGTTGGTGTCAAGTTTTTTACCATCTTTGTTCTTCCTTGAGATGGCCTTAGCTAACTGGTGATTGTCAACTGAGTATGTGGAGTTAATACTCATTCTGTGTGCCTTCTGACCTCCACTGAACACATGCCTCAACCTGCTGAGTGTGCTGGCTTAATCCACTTAGCTGTCAAGTGAATCCAGCTCGGACCTCTAACCTCTTCGTGGATTTTCAGGTCTATTGAGTAAACAGAAAATAATTTCTTGGTACACATATAAATTTAAACTCAGTGCTCACTTTTAGCAGAAATCACTGCTGTGTGCAGTAATCAAATATTTAGTTCAAATGTGTATATTTAATTGCACTGATGCTTAATTTCCTCATTTGTAAGTAATCAGCTGTTTTGTTTATTATGACCAGCACTGTAAATGCTGTGTTTGGGATTTTTTTGAAGCAAAAAGATGAAACAGGAATAGTAAAATAAAAATAAGACAATTCCGTCTGGAAGACTCAATCATCTGTGCGTGACATTTAAAGGCAGTGATCTTTGTAAGTCACAGTGTGATATTGTCAGTTGGGAAAAATTTCTCAGAATCTTGCCTTCTTTCCCCTTCCATTTCATGCTGTATCAGTTGGGGGAAATCCCAAGTTTTTAAAGTAAAGTAATAGTTATTTTTCTTCAAAATCAGTCATTCCTAACTTACTTTCTTTGGGGGCTGGGGAGTAGGAAGGAGTCAGGGAAGTAGGAGGCCTTCCGGTGACAGTGAGTGCACTCCAGACTCCAGTAGGACATGTCGTCATATGTGATATGTTACAGTTGACCCTTGAACAGTGCAGGCGTAAGTTGTGGATTCACTTACATGTGGATATTTTTCAGTAGTAAATACTGCAGTACTGCATGTTCTGTATATTGGTTGAATGTATGGATGTAGGGGGTACATATAAATTATATGCTGATTAACCCTTGCATTGTTCAAGCATCAGCTATATTTAAAATTGAGACTATCTTGGGAAATTGAAAATATATGAATTATTATAATACCTTGGGGGAATTTTTTTCTCGTTTTTAAAATGGGACCAAGTGATCAGAGATCTGTATACCTGTGTGCTGCATGAACTTTTAATTTTTATCTCAGTTGATAGTGAGTTGCAAGGGTTCATGTTTGATTCAGAAATTGGAACTGACTGTGAATTAGGTACATAAGGGTCCGACCCCGCCTGTTGGCTTTTAATTACAAATAAGGAACATACCATTTCATTGATAATATAATTAAGCTTAAGAGTAAAATGTCACATGATTATATGCCCTGTGAGTTAGAATAACCAACCCAGATTTGCTCTGATCCCTGGCAGCAGCCCATGCGTACAGCCATGTAGTAGGCAGTTCTCCTGTGTTAGCAGGTCTGGTACAGATTTCTGCCTAGAGATCTCAATGGCAGCATTTTTTGAGCAAGTATTTACTGTGTGCATATTGATTTTCAAATACTTTGTAAGTTCTGGCAGTACAAAGGTGAGCAGAATGGGTGCCTTTCCTGCCATCACAGAACTTTCCAACTAGAGTTGTATGCCTCAGGGTTGTAACTTGGTATCTTTGCCTACTGGTAACAAGAAATTATTTTTCTCCAACTTTATTGAGATATAATTGACAAATAGTATTGTATAAGTTTTATGTGATGATTTGATGCACATATATATTGCAAGATATCTTTACCACATAAGGTTAGTTAACATATCCTTCACCTCTCAAAATTACATTTTTTTTTGTTATGGTGACAGTATCTAAGATCTGCTGTCTTAACAATGTTCAGCTATTTTGTTGTTGTTGTTGTGTAGTTGCTAAGTTGTGTCCAACTCTTTGTGACCCCGTCGACTGCAGCACGCCAGGCTTCCCTGTCCATCACCAACTCCTGGAGCTTGCTTAAACTCTTGTCCATTGAGGCGGTGATGCCATCCAAGCATCTCATCCTGTGTCGCCCACTTTTCCTCCCGCCCTCACTCTTTCCCCGTGTCAGGTCTTTTCCGCTGAGTTGGTTTGTTGCATCAGTATTTGTTTGCCAGTACTTTGTTGCCAAAGTATTGGAACTTCAGCTTTAGCATTAATCCTTCCAATGACCAGGACTGATTTCCTTTAGGATTGACTGGTTTGATCTCCTTGCTGTCCAAGGGACTCTCAAGAGTCTTCTCCAGTACCACCATTGTAAAGCATCAATTCTTCAGTGCTCAACTCTCACATCCATACATGACTACTGGCAAAATCATAGTTTTGACTATATGCAGCTTTGTCGGCAAAGTGATGTGTCTGCTTTTTCATACCCAGTCTAGGTTTGTCATAGCTTTTCTTCTAAGGAGCAGCTATACAGTACAGTACTGTTGTCTGGAGTCGCCATGCTGGATAGGCCAGAACTCACCTTAAAACTGAAGTTTGACAGCATCCTGAAAATGCACAGGTACCATCTACTAAATAGCTGACCACTGTTGCCTCTTAAGCAGTTTGGTGACAGACATAGGCTGGTGGAGTTTGTTGTTTTCCTCCATTGATAATCAGACATTAACTTCCCAGATGGCTCTGTGTTAAGAATCCGCCTGCTAATGCGGGAGACACAGGTTCGATCCCAGGTTTGGCAGGATACCCTGGAGGAGGAAATGGCAACCCACTCCAGTATCATTGCCTGGAAAATCCCATGGACAGAGGAGCCTGGCAGTCTTCAGTCTGTGGGGTCGCCAAGAGTTGGACACGCCTTAGCAGCTGACCAGGAGCATGAGCGTGAGACATGACTACAGTTGGAAGTAAAGCTGTTAAACCGGAAGTAGACCAATTAGTGTCAGTGATGGTGAAGGAGTTAGAGGAGATAAAAGTAGACTGTAGTTGTAAAGGTAATGTTGGTTTGGAATTGGTTCTAAACTATAAATTATCTCTGTTTTCTGTGGTGGTGATAATACAGGGGTAAAGCATGTAAATACACTGGTATGTTTGAGATAAATGTCCTTTGTTCTTGTCTTTAACCTTCTGTAATTTTTGCTCTATTTCTTCGATCATATTTTAGTTCACATGGAATTCATATATTGTTGATATATTTCATTTAGTAAGTTTCTGTCAAATATAATTTTAAAGTATAGTTATATTTAACCATTGAGCTTAAGCAAATTAGATGTTAGATGTTTGCTGTGTTTTCATGAATGAATTTACAGGTATTCATAGATCTACTTAGTTTTAGAAGTTTATTCTTTTCTGCCACATTTTTTTTTTTTTTAACTTCCAGAGGCACATATTATTCTCAGTGAAACTGTTTGAATATTTTGTGATGTAGGCTGGTGGAAAAATGATTCATTCAGCAGCATTGTATTCTACAGTCAGGGTTATTGGAGCATATCATATTTTATTACAGGAGAGATGCCTGAGAAGAGGAGACTCTATAAACTAGATAAAAGGAACAGTGTCTGTTAACTTCATTATCTTATCACCATCACCTGTTACTTAGTGATGCCTCATCAAGATAGGATCCATTTACTTTCTTATCTGCTGTTTTAGAATCCTCTTAACCAATATCTAAGAAATCACAACTAGCTGGTTTAGATTATAAGGTATTTTCTGCATCTAAGCCAAATTCGAAGATGGATTTTAGCATTCAGTATAATTTTTAAACATCCATTCCTTGAATAAACAATTCTTTAAAAGGCAAAAGTAATGGAATAGAATTCATATACTGCTATGGGTGTGTTAAATGGTGTGATTTTTCTGTGGGGCAATCCCACCCCCCCCCCCCACCCCGTGGGGCATTTTAGGAATATGTATTAAGAGCCTTGAAATGTTACCCTTGACCTAGTAATTCCACTTTGAGGATCTTAAAGATTTAACCAAAGATACTCATTGGAGTATTATATCTAATGGTGAAAATTTGGTAAATCATTATGTCCAACAAAAAATAGTTATATATTTGTATAGAAGAATCTTACTTAGCCATTATAAAGATTATTTACTTAAGACTAACAGAAAGTCATGATATAAAAGTGAAAAAGGTATGAAGAACTTTATAAGAAATTGAGCTCAATCTAACAAAAGCTAGCAGTTAAAAGTATGAGTCAGACCTGTATATTACAGACCTGGAAGGATCATCAACTCACATAAAATGCAGAAAAGCAAGGTGTAGAATAATATACATATACAGAAAAGTGAGGTACTTATGAAAATACAGCAAATTGATCATGTTTATATTTGTATATAAGCATATACAGATATGGAAAAAAGTCTCTTTGTTAAAACTATTAATAATGACTGGAACTAGAGGCAAGAAAAGGCTTTTACTTTGACTCCTACTTGAATTTTAATAATAAGAGTGTATCCATATGTTAATTTGTAATTAATGTTAAAAAGAAATCCAAATTTTCTGTTTTATGAAGAGAAAAGTTCTCTGAAATCTGAGCAGTGGTTGTCTCTGGAACGTAGGAGCTCATATAGTTCTTAATTTTCTTTGTATTTTTCTCTGTTTCCCAGAATTTTGGCAATGAACAGGAATTATTTTTATAATCTGAAAAAGCAGTAAAGTGTTTTAAAAAGCTGAGATTACAGGTAGTAGCGTGGTCTGGACTAAGGATTGCTGTGATTCAGATTGCAGCTATACTATTCTAGAGCCTCGTGACCTTGGGGCTGGGGCTTGGGGGAGCCGCTTTACTTTTCTCACAGGATTTTTTTTGAAGATTAAATTAGGTGTGACATATGTAGGTTAGTTTTTATGTGTCTGCCACGCATTTGGTGCTCGATAAATGTTAACTTCCTTCTTGTTTTTCTCATTCATGACATAATAAACTCTTCAAAACAGCTGGAAACTACTGTAAAAGTATTAACCAAAACACAAATGTATTCAATAATTAGACAGTTGAAGAGCTTATGGTGTGATAGTTTCAGAAATAATCCTGCTACAGGATAGAAAGTGAGAATATTCATTAGAGGAAAACAGAGCTGTGGTATTTCACTTCTGATGACAGGGAGAGGCGGGTATGAATCCTCATTTTTCTGTATGAATCAACTGTTAGTCAGCACTAATTTGTTTTCTAAGTATGATTTAAAAAATTCTGCACAGGTTCAACTTGAAGAGTGTTTAATAGCTGTGTTATAGATACATTGCTGTTTTTATTCAGCATAGCTATCAATATTAAGAAATAAAATGAGGGCTTCAGGACAATCAGTCTTGTATTAGTAAATCAATATGTAAAATGAGATACCTTAATTTCAGGGACCTAAGACAATTAGGGGAAATAGATATCAACATGAAATTCTCAAAGCAGTTAACAACTCTATTCTTTCTGCACGTTTGTTAGATGAACAATAGAAAATACAGGCATTTGCTTTTCCCTGTTTTGCAGAGGAGGTATCACAAGCTTAGGGCTTCCCCAGTAGCTGAGCAGTCAAGAATCTGTCTGCACCGCAGGAGACACAGGTTCAGTCCCTGGGTGGGGAAGATTCCCTGGAGGAGGGCATGGTGGCCCACTCTAGTATTCTTGCCTGGAGAATCCCATGGACAGAGGAAGGAGCCTGGCGGGCTACAGTGCATAGAGTTGACTGAAGTGACCGAGCACGCACATCACAGTTTAAAGAGGAAGATTGATGTCAGCAAGTGAGGGCAAAGTAGGATGTCATACTAGGCGCATAGAACTTAAGAAGCACCAGCATTGCTGTCTCTGGTATGCTTTGTCTGATGTTTTCATACAAGGAAACAATTAAAAAAAAACACTAATTCAAAAAGATATGCACCCTAATGTTTTTAACAGCATTATGTATATTAGCCAAGATATGGAAACAACCCAAGTGTCCATCAGCAGATGAATGGATAAAGAAGCCTGGTATGTATATACTCAGCCATAAAGAAGAATGAAACTATTGCCATTTGCAACAACCGGGATGGACCTAGAGAGTATTATACTTAGTGAAATATTTATAAATCAGGCGAGAAAGACAGATACTGTATGCTCTCACTCATGTTTGGAATCTAAAACATGAAACAGTCAAACGTATATAATAAAACAGACTCCCAGGTATAGGAATCAAACTATAGTGGTTACCAGTGGGGAGAGGGAAAAGAGGAGAGGCAGGATAGGGATATGGGATTAAGAGGTTCAGACTACTGTGTATAAAATAGATGAGTAACAAGGCTGTGTTGTACAGCGCAGGGTTATATAGCCATTATTTTATAATAATTTTAGATGGAGTATAATCTATAAAAATATTGAATCAAGATGCTGTACACCTGAAACTAATACAATATTTTAAATCAACTATACTTCAAATGGGCTTCTGCCTGCTGACGCAGGGGACGCGTTGGCAAAGGAAGATCCCCTGGAGAAGGAAATGGCAACCCACTCCAGTATTCTTGCCTGGAAAATCCCATGGACAGAGAGGAGCCTGGCGGGCTACAGTCCATGGGGTTTGCAAAGAGTCAGACATGACTGAGCCTGAACACACACACACACACACACATACACACACACACACACACACACACACACACACTTCAGTACAAAAAGAAACTTTTTTTTTAGGTCTAGGAGGTTTGGATAGGTATCAGGTGTTTCTTTTATTTCATTTGTTTCCTTATTTAATCGTTTTTTCTCTAAAGGATGAAATTTGATATCATGTATAGCTGGCTGTGTTCCTGCTTACAGTCTTTCTCTTGCATTGCAACCCTTCGGGAATGCCGCATACTGAGAAACAGCTTGGGATAGGTTTTCATGTGGTAGAGAGTGAGTATACTTTGGGAAACCACTCTGCTCTGTGACTCTGAGTCAGCACGGGGCCTCGGCCGAGGGCCCGCACTCATGGCTTGGCGTGAGCACCTCTGTTCTTGAATGTCTACTAGTAATAAAAATGTCAGTATCAACGCCAATTCAGTGTGTGAAATCCTTTAGAATCGAGTCCTCTGAGTTCGTTTCCACTCTTATACACATATTTTCCTTTATTCTGTACAAACTTTTTTCAAAAAGCTAAAAAAAAAAATCTTGAAATTTACTGTCCTTTCGTACCTATATCCGCTTTACTTTGTAGATTTCATCAGTGGTCAGTGTTCTTTTGTGTCTCAATAGTGTCTTTATGTTTTTAACCTTGTAGTTGTTTTAACTCATAAGTTTCCTAGGACACTTTGTGCTGTTTTAAATGAATTTTAGAATGGTTCTCTTTTGACTCTGTCCCTTAGTTTAATGGAATCCTGTTACTTTCCTTACCTAATTTAGTGTGGTGTTGTCCTGGCCCTGCAGCATTTGCTGGAAGAGCGAATCTGAGAGGCACTGTGTTACCCTCTTGTCTAGGTTTGCTGAATGACTGAGAGGCAGTGCCCCCAGGCTCCAGGGGGGCAGAGGCCCCTCTCCCACTGTGTGCTGTGTCTTGCACAGCAGCGGGGACATTAGGCACACAGGACATCATGAGGGTGTGTCTAAGCTCAGACAGAGCAGAAGAAAC